GGGACAGTGGCACCGCCCAGGGCCAAGGTGCCCACCAGCCTAAACGAGGGTACAGCAGCACTGTCCAGGGCCAAGGTGCCCACCAGCCTAAACGAGGGGACAGCGGCACTACCCAGGGCCAAGGTGCCCACCAGCCTAAGCTCAGGAGCAATACCAGACCCTGGGGCTGGGGATGGGCCAGGCTCAGCCCCGGGATCCTGCGTCCCAGAGGCAGAGTGTGCTGCTGGGGGGCCGAGCTCCTTTGGAAGTGTTTGGGAGGCTCAGGGGAACCGAGGCCCTAGCATCCTCACAGCAAAAGGCACCTGGGGCGGGAAGCTTGGGTGTGTGGCTGGGAGCAGGTGACCCCCTCAGTTTCCCCATCAGGGAAGTCCTGCTGTGGCGATTCAGGACAAGCCAGGAGGCCGTGCAGTGCAGTGCAGGGTGGGCCAGGCTGCGTCCGGGCTGTGTCTGGATGCTCACTCCTTTCCCCCAGAGACTTTCAGGCCGGCAGGGGCGGGGACCGGAGCTGCTCCAATTCCTTCCTGCTCCGGTGACCCCCCCAACCCCAACCACAGCAGCCCAGGTGGGTCTCACTGGCTCCAGCTGGCCCAGGCAGCCGGCTGCACAGCGAGACCCAACCCCTCCATCCCCACAGTGGGACCCGGCAGGGCCTCTGCCCTCTCTGGTGCACCTGTTTGTGGGAAATGGGCAGAGCCATCAGCTGGGGGCCCTGGGCCAAGCTGCTCTTCTATTTGAGTCCAGAACACTGTCCTGATGGCTGTCTCCGGCCCCGCATCTGGGAGTCACCCCACCCCAGGTGTCTGGCTTCCCCACTCCTCTCCATCCCCACTGCCACCTAGACTCAGAGCCTGCTTGGGGACCCCTTCCTTCCCCAGCTCAAGACCCTTCTGGGTGCCCATAACCCCCCATAAAATTCGACATGTAGGCTGGTGCCCAGGGGTGTGGCAGGCTGGCCCCGCCCACCTCAAAGGCCACACTCTGCTCACCCTCACTTAGGGTGGGTGCCCCTCTGCCCTCTCTCCATCTCCACCCTCCCCTCCTTATGGTCAGGGGTGGCACGCGGCCCTACGGTCCCACTCCTCTGGCTTCTCCTGCCTCTGAGGCTCCTTCCTGGGGTGCCCTCCCTGGGAACACTGTGTGAATGTCAGTGGGTGGTGTCTCCCTCTGCCCCAGCTCCCCTGTGGGTCCCACACCTCACCGAGCTCTCCACAGGCAGCCAGCACCAGTGCCAGGAGCACCAGCCGCACCAGCCATGTCCCCAGCATCGTCCCGGCCCACTCTGTGCTCTCGCCCTGGGCTTGCCCGGCGGGGACAGCGATTCCAAGTGCAGTGGCCGCCGGACCGGTCTGCTGAGCAGATTAATGAGATCAAATTTCCCCAGGGTGAAGGTGTGAAGACCCCGCCCAGGCCGGCCTCCACTGACTCCCCATCTTTCACTGCAGCTCCTCCCACTCCCAGCCTGGCCCTCTGGGCCCACCCCACATGCCTGGGACCCTCCCTGTGCCTTCCTCATTCCTCCAGTACCAGCCAGGTCTCCTCCCTGCCCCTTCCTGACCCCTCCAGCTCTCCACCCCTGCCACCGTGGCCTGGGGCTGCCCCCCTTCCCTTTGTGGGGACCCTCCTCAAGACCCCTAAACACCCTGTGCTGCGGACCTTCACCCTACTTCCCTCTGGCTCACGCCAGGCAGCCCAGGGACCCCCCCCCCCACACTATCTGGAAGGTGACGGGATGGTGGCGGGCCACCCCTGGCTGCTGGTCCCTCCTGCCTCAGGACACCTGTGTTCCAGGGGAGAGCCCAGTGCTGGATCTTCCCAGACTCTGGGCTGGAATGTTCCTGGGAGAACCTTGGCCCCAGCTCTGATTTCCCTGGGGTGGTCAGGCTGGGTGTTAGGGGTCTGGGACTGAACTCCCACCCCGACAGCCAGCTACAGGATTTGCTCAGAGGCTTAAGGAGGCAAATGCCAAAAACGACTGGGTGAGCAGAGAAGGTCCTAGGTGGAGAGTGGGGTTGGGGGAAGCCGGGGTCGCCTTGGGGGTGCGAATCCCAGACCCCTTGGCTACCTGCCGGTCGGACACCTTAATCTCTAACATCCCAATAAGGCTGCCCTCAGGCAGTGCTTACCGGGCCTCCTTGCAGGTGAGGAAATGGAGGGAACGTTCCTTGTCCACGGCTCAGACAGGAGACAGTGGCTTTGGGTTGGGGTGACTCCGGGTGTCTCCTGCTCAGCTCCCTGGTCCCCCGATGGACACCCCCGCAGAGTGCTTGCACCAGCCTCCCCAGGTAGTGTCTGGCCTGTGATCCTGCCACCCCTGCCCCAAGGCCTGCAGCTGCCAGTGTGTAGGGTTGGGGGGACCAAGGCCTTGACAGCAGCCTGCGTCTTCCTGGGCCTGGCGTTCAAGGCCATGATCTCACTGAGCTATGCCCAGCCCCGCACCCGAATCCCACCCCCTCCTGGTCTTCACTCCTGCTGTTCCCAGTGCCAGGAATGCCCTTCCCTCTCCTTCACCAGCCCCAGTAGCTGAAATTCCATCTCTGGGAGACCGCACTCTCCTGCCTGCACCCCCTCTCTGCCATGGCCCTTTTAGGGTCCCCAGGCTCTCCTTCTGGATCGGCTGTCTGGGATCTGGTCTTTGACCCAGCGGCTGGGACAGCCTGTGTCTACTGAGTACTAGGTGGGGGCGGAGCATGCAGGGGTGGGAGGGGGGCACCCAGGATTCCCTAGCGTCCCACTTGTGTCAAAGACTTGGCCTAGTGGATCTCACTTTTCCTCACTGTAGCGCTGGAGGCTCACAGTGAAAATGAATTTATTTTGCATAAGGGAACTGTGGCTCTGAGAAGCAATTGACTTAGGCACGGCCGCCCAACCTGGGCTGGGTGAAGGCCGAGCAGCAGCAAGCCTGTCTGGTTTTGCTTGGATGGTGCCACTCAGCCATGCTGCAATGGGCCATTGATGCTGGGTGCAGCTAACTGGATTAGACACCCCACCCTACACACCCTGGGTTCCTCTTGAGGCCTGACCCAATTCCTCTGCCATGGCATGGCCCAACTCCTTCCTGTCCTCAGACCCAGGGGCCCCACCTGTGCCTTCTACCCAGAACACACGCCCGGCCCCCAGGCATTCAGCTTCTCCTAGATTTCTGCCTGACCCTTGCTGGAGAGATCCAGGCTAAGCCTTTCTGCAAAGTTACAGCTGCCTGATTGGGGTGTGGAAAAATGTAGCCCAGCCAGGGTCTGGGCTGGCTCTGTCTGGGAGGACTGTGTTCCAAGAGAGCCACACCCTTCCCTCCTCAGTTCCACCAGGAACTTCTGGGTCAGGGCTCAGTGTGTGACCAGAATCTGAGCTCAGTGTGTGATCAAGATCGGGGCTCAGCATGTAACAAAGGTCAGAGCTCAGCTTGTGACTAAGATCAGGGCTTAGCATATAAAAAATGTCAGGGCTCAGCTTGAGACCAGGATCAGGGCTCAGTGTGTGATCAGGAGCATGACTCAGCATGAAACAAGCGTTAGGGCTCAGCTTGTGACCAGGATCAGGGCTCAGTGTGTGATCAGGAGCATGACTCAGCATGAAACAAGTGTCAGGGCTCAGCCTGTGACCAGGATCAGGGCTCAGTGTGTGATCAGGAGCAGGGCTCAGCATGTAACAAATGTCAGAGCTCAGCCTGTGAGTTGGATTGGGATCATTGTGTAATCAGGATCAGGGCTCAGTGTGGGACCAGGGGTGGACTCCACCCACAGTAATGCTGCTGAACTGAGGAATTGTCAGGCTGCCACCGGAGCCGCTGACTTCAAGAAGTTACCTCTGAAGTGTGATCCAGGGATCAGTTGGGGCCCTGGCACCTGCTCCCATGCCACTGCCTGTTTTCTGAGCACACTGGACCCTGCTGTGAGGCCTTCCCCAGATCCCTCTCCATGGCCAGGGTGAAGATTCAAGTCTGTCACCTAGAGGAACTCAGGTGGGGGAGGACAGCAGTGAGAGAGGCCATGCCCTGCTCCCTGGAAGTTTCTGGTGACAGGTCGCTGGGTCGGATGGTCCCCAGGGTGGGCTGGGCAGCTCAGCTTCCATGCTCTACCATGTCCCGTGCTACCCAGGGTCTGGCCACGGTCGCCTGTGTCCCATCATCACCCCGTGTCCGCTCAGGCCCTGTGCCCGTCAGTGTCCTATGGTCGCCCCTACTCACTGTCTCACTCTTTCTGTTTTCACGCTTCGTGTTGCTCCTGGGTCACCCCCAGCCTACAATGCAGGTTTGGGCTGAGCCATAATCATCTCAAAGTCCCCGAAGCAGAGGTGCCCACAGCATAAAACATGATGCAGTGAGAGGATGGGGAGGACCTCCTCAACTTGGGGAGGACCTACTTCTAAACTGGCTGGAGTTGGCCACATTCTGTTCCTGTCTGTTGGTGGAGGCTGCCCTCAGCTCCCGCCCATGTGGGCCTGTTCAGTGCAGCCGCCAGCTTCATGGGAGCCTCAGGCTGGACCAGCTTCCATTGCTGGGAAGCAAATCACCCTGCACTTAGTGGCTTAGAACAGCACCCATTTTTACCTCCGGTCTTTCTCCCCATGTGGGTTCGGCTGGGCTCTCTGCTCAGGGTCCCACAGGCCACAGTCAAGGTGTGGCTGGGCTGGACTCCAGCCTGGAGGCTCTGGGAGGAATCTTCGTCCAGGCTTAGTTGGGTGCTGGCAGAATCCGGGACCTTGAGGTTGCAGGGCTGACGTCTCAATTTCCTTGCTGGCATCCTCGGAGGCTGCTCTCTGCCCTAGGGCCCCGCTCCTCCTTGGGTGACCCCTCTGCCAGCCACACGTACTGCACCCTCCTCCAGCGTCAGTCCCTGCCTTCCTTTTCTGTCACTGGCAGATGTGCTCCATCCCTGGCTGCATCTTGCACCAAACGGTAAAACCCCGGTATATGTCACGCTCTCTGCAAGTGCTGCCGTTCACCGGAGGTGGCTTCCGGCGTCTGCCCTTGCTTTCCCTCCTGCCCTTATAATGAAGCCTCTCACTGTCCCCAAAGCCTCACCTCACTGCCCATGGTCACCTCATCCCAGGGGAGGGTTTTGGAAGCTCATTGTGGCTGCCCATCTTTGTGGCTGATGGGACCCTCTGAGACTGGATGAACAGTGCCAGAATCCAGCCCTTGAGGGTCACCTGCAAGTAGTGCCTTCTGATGGGTCCTGAGGGAAGACTCTGGGAAGGAGACCCCACACCCACTGCTCATCAGGGAGGCGGTGGGCTAGGGCCTGTGCAGGAGCCAGTGCCTTCACGTGTATACCTCCGCATGGTGGCCTGCGGCCAGGACACCCCATGAGCCAGGACCCTGTGTGGCCAGCGGAGAAGTGGCTGCCTTGCCTGCATTCCCACCTTCCATATTCGGGAACTAGAAGCTGCCCCTGGACTCCAGGCCCCTGGGAAAGGGAACTGTGGCTCTCCAGCCCTGCAGCCCCAGGCAGTGCCCTGGCACGGTTGGGGTGGAGGCCTGGGCCTTCCACCAATACCAGTTGGGCTCCCCACTGGCCCCAAGCCACAGTGAAGTGCCACCAGGGCAGCACCGGGTGCCTGTCCCCTGCACCCAGGATGCCCTGCCTGTGCACAGCCCCGCCTGCTCTTTTGGTGGCTTCTCCTCCATCCTGTCACCCTGTCCACATTTTGTGCTGTGAGCACCTCTGCTTCAGGGCAGGAGGTCCCAGGCCCGTGTGGGAGGTTGTGGCCAAACCTGGGCAGTTTCTGATCACATTAGTATGGAACGGCCTCATTTGTTTTCTTGCTTTAAAAAGAGGAACTCCTCTATTTGGGCAGCTTCCTGGGTGTACCGGGAGAAGGATGTGTCAAAAGTTCAGGCCTGGCTAGGCGCGGCAGCTCACGCCTATAACCTCAGCACTTTGGGAGGCCGAGGCATGTGGATCACCTGAGGTCAGGAGTTCTAGACCAGCCTGGCCAACATGGCAAAACCCCGTCTCTACTAAAAATACAGAATTTAACTGGATGTGGTGGCACATGCCTGTAATCCCAGCTACATGGGAGGCTGAGGCAGGAGAATCACGTGAACCTGGGAGATGGAGGTTGCAGTGAGCCGAGATTGCACCATCGCACTCCAGTCTGGGTGATAGAGTGAGACTCCATCTAAAAAAATAAATATATATATAAAGTTCAGGCCTGGGGCACCCTTCCAGGCTGGATGCCAGCAAGGCTCAGGAAGGGCTGTCTGTGTCCTGTCAGGCCTGGGAGCTGTCTGGAAGGAGACAGGTTTAGAGGTGCTGAGTGGACAGGAGACAGTCCTGAGTGACACACAGCCCTGTAGGAGATGGCACTGCTCCCTCTGTGGCCTCGCCCCTGCACAGTCCCTCCCGATTTATGCTGGGAACACCCCCCTTCACCAGAACCCGGAGGAGTTCTCTGTCTCTGCAGCTCCAGGGCCCGGGGTGCC